TACTACTACTACTACTACTACTACTACTCCTGCTACTACTACTACTCCTACTCCTACTCCTACTCCTACTCCTACTCCTACTCCTACTACTACTACTACTACTACTACTACTACTACTAATGCTGCTACTACGCACCGGGCTCACTGGGCGCCCGTTGCCAAAAGCAAAATCGTGGTAACGCGGTAGCGCTTGAAGACATGTGAATTACAATACTTTTGTAGTTTCTGAGAAACATGTGCTATTCAGGGCCATAAACTATTGGGGGACGAACTATGTAGTTTCAATGCAGTTCAGAAACGTCGGAGTCGAGCCAACAAGCCGAAAGTAGTGTAAGTACCAGTGAGCTGTGTGCAGTCATGGTCTTCATCTCTCTAATACGGTGATTTGTATTAAGACCTTAGAAGTCTTCGCATTATGTCATAAGCTCATTGTCATACCATCATAACCATCATCATCATCACCGCCATCTATCATCATCAGCAGCATGATCATCACGATCATCGTCATCATCACCATCTGACATCATCAGCGTCATCATCACGACGACCATCGTCATCATCACCATCTATCATCATCATCATCACGATCATCGTCATCATCACCATCATTACCTTCCTCTTCTTCTTCATGACCATGAGCACACAACCATCATCATCGGCATCATCATTGTTAAAAGATTCACCATCATGAATCATTATCGTAACCATGGCATATCATCTTTTATCGACGTCATCACCGCCACCATCATCATCATCATCATCACCATCGTCACCATTAACACCATCATCCTTATCGTAGACATCGCATATCATCATATATCATCGTCACCATGGTCATCACCATTATCATCATGATAATAATAGTCATCATCATGATATGATACCTCTCATGAACAGTAACATGGTGATGCTATGTTATGGTATGCTGATTATGTCATGATATGTTATGCTGTGTCATGTTATGTTTTGTATGTATGTACAAAAGTATGCATGTATGCATGTATGCATGTATGCATGCATGTATGTATGCATGCATAATGCATTCTTATTTGCAGGTATGTATGTACGTGCGTACGTACGTACGGACGTACGTACGTACGTACGTACGTACGTACGTACGTAGGTAGGTATGTATGTAT